ACCTCCTCCTTTGACTCTTCTAGTTTAGTTTCTAATTCCTTATTCTTTACTTCCAATTGCTTATTTTTTTCAAGCAACTCATTTCTCTCTTTCTCTAAACTGGTTGTTAAGGATTATAAACTTTTAGTTTCTTTATCAGCTTTTACTCATCAATTTACTGTATCGTGATGTAAGTAAATAAGACGAACAAAACTTTTTCTAAATTCTTTGTCTTCTAAATGCTGTAATGCATAAGGGCGAAGTCAAAAGTAATCTGCAACTGCTCTTATCTCTGCCTCACTTGAATTTCGGTTTAAATTACCAATTAGTTCTCTTATTTCCTCTTCAGTTAAAATATTGTTTTGGTTTGTCATGATTTTACTTTTTTTTTTATTCTTTTAATATACTTATATCCTTTTTATGGACATATTAAGTATATAAATTATTTTAGTGCTTTTTTACTTTAAAACTAACAATATTTATCAAAAGATTAAGCTTATTAAACTTAATGATAGTAAAGGCAAATTAATTAGTGATGGAGGTGATTTTATTCTGAATATTTTATTTGTTTCCAATATAGAATGGTTTTAGGCAAGTAACATCTTTGTATTCATCTTTCACAAATAGGCGAATATTATGATAAAGATACTCTTGCCTTTTGTGATCCAAAGGAGGTGGTATTAACACTAAAATAGATAAAGCTTTAATCTCTTCAAAAATATCTGATTTCTTGATTTTCAATAAATTGAATTCAGCAAAAGGTCTATTAGCAATTTCCTGAGCTTTGACAATACCAAGATTAGTTGCTTCGAAAAGAAAATGTTGATACTTTTGTAAACCATTTAGTTTCTTAAAATAAATTCCCAAAATTGCTTTAATATCTAAGTATTGAAAATCTTTTCCACCTTCATAACATTGAGTTTTATTCAATCCTGCTGGACTAGATCTTTTTACCACATCAAACACATGATTTACACAATCTACACTTGTTTTTCTATAAAGTTTTTTAATCAATCCAAAACTACCATCACATTTGAATTTGGTATGTCCAGGAATCATGAAATTCAATTTAACACTTTCATAATATCCACAAATTACCAAATATAAATAAAACCAAATTGTTACATTATTTTTATTTTGACCTCCAGCATTATCACAAGTAATCTTTAAATGCTTTTCACCTTTATTTAATTTTTTGATTCCATCAAAAATCATGCTAAGTGTGCTATTGGGTCCTTTACCTATAATTTCATCTTCATTAAGAACATAATTAATTTGTTCCCTTATTGTTTCATCTTGAATACCAAATAAATGGACTTTATATAGACTAAGGTAATAGATTTTACTTACTTGTTGATTTGAATGGGGCACATGGACATTTTGGGCTCAATCATAACTATAATGTGCAGTAGCATCAATACTGCAATATTGTGTTTTGCCTTTAAAATAATTTTGGTCAACTAATTTTCTTTGTTCTTCAGCTAATTTGGTATTTTTATTATAATAATTTCTTTTTGCTTTGGCCTTAGACAGATGTTCCCTAAATCTTTTAAGTAATTCTTTGGCTTCTTCTTCTTAGCGAGCATTATAATGTAAACCATTTCTAAAATGTTGACAAGTATCATACAAATCAGTCTTGGGACTCATAATTTGAATCTCTGGTGTCAATTGATGTCATAATTTTCTGAAAGCATCATATTTTAAGGATTTCAAATTACTATCTTCTTCTAGACCAGCTAGAAAATACCTGTGTATTGATTTATAACTCATTTCAGCTGGTAAGAATACAATTGATTGAGTTATTCTATTGATACTTCTGCCTGGACTTGGTAATCCATGAATTACTGCATAATTTTTTAGAAAATTCTTTACTACTTCTGCAACACTTTTGTCAATTACCATTTTAGTTTTCCATTGAGGCATCCTTTTAATATTACCATGAGTTCTTGGCAGAAGACCATTGTTTATCAGATGATTTCTAATGTTTTCAAAGTAAGTTCTACCAATTCCTAACATATTGAAATAAGTTTCTTGACAAAGGAGTGTATTGTGATCCTAGTGATAAAAAGTTCTTTTATTAAATCTAGTTTTCTTTTTAAGACGTCTACTAGTGCTTACTGAACCACCATCTATTGCTTTAAGTTGGGCCATTAAAAATATGTCTTGTACTGGTTTAGAAAGAGCTTGAAGGGATTCTCTTAATTCTGCAAATTTTTCCTTGGGAATTCTTGAAGAACAATCACAATTACAACCTTTTTCTAAAAAATCAATTGCTTTTTGATATTCATTAGAACCATTATGATTATTATTTATATTACTTTTCATATATACTTATCCCTATATATATAATTTTATAATTTTTTGTTCACTTTGTGGTTTTTTTATAATTTAATATTTTTTAAATTTAACATTTGAATGGAAAGCCAGTGTTCAATTTATTATAAAAAGTCTTGACAATCTTGACAAAAGAAATACAAATAAAGAATTTAGCCTTAGCTTTACAAATATATTATTTTCATTTTTGAATGAATTTAATTAGGTGGAAATTGTGATTGGTGTATATTTATTAAAACAAAAATATCCTTACCCATTACTCAGCTAGAAAATTATTAGTTAATTTATAAATAACATGTACAATAAAAAACATGGATTTTACAAATCAATAAATTAACTTATAATATGAATATGGATTATACATGTTGTCAAAATTAAAAGGTGTATGATACAATTCGTGATACAAGACACAATTTGTAATACAAGATACTACTTGAGATCTTCATTATACAAAAAGCAATACAGATATAATTGTGACAATTTTTCAGCTAATCAAAACTTTGAATATGAAAATATTGATATTACATTCAAAAAAATTCTTTTAAGTCTTTATCTCTAAAAAAACATATTTATGGAATTACCTTATAAATTATAGTAATATTTAGTTATACCACTATTACTATAAATGGCACTGTGTTCAAAAATCAATGATAATGATAATGTTTATATTGGGGATAGAATTATAATGTCAATTCTGATGGATGATATTTTAAATAATAAAAATGATTAAATAATATTGTAAATAAATATAAATTTTTGTGAATCGCACATGGGTCATGTACTGGTTATTGTAGTGAGAGAATGATAACATATTCTAATTAAGTAGAAACAGACAAATATTCTAAATACTAGCAAATAGTTCTGGTCGTGAGTTAATAAAAATATATTTATGTTTATTCAGATGGTCGAGACCGATGAATATACTTTATTAATTTTAATTGTTTGATTATGAGAATCATTTAAATTTTTTTTTTTTAATCTGTTATTTCACAATTTTTATTTTCCAATTATAGTTTCATTTTCAATATTTGATTATTATTATTAAAGTTTATAATAACTATAGATTATTGTTGAACGTTCAATACGCTTGTTGTTCTTGCTCTTTGAAGTTACTTCAAATATCAGATTCATCATTATCTTATCGAAGACTTTTATTTTTTTTTAAAATTCTCATAAAATTATTAATTATAATGTTTTTCACAATAAAAAAACTTTCAATGGCCAATCAAATTTTAAAATGTAACCATTTCCATTTAAGATATAATCCCTGATCATAATACACATAGATCTTTTTTTCAATTAAAAAAAATATATAATCCAAAACAATTAATTCTTATTACTTCAATCAAGTTTCGTAAAGGCAAGTATATGATTTTATTTTCATGCTATTAGTCACGCGCATTCCTACTAGCGTATGGCTAATACTTCTTGCGTTAGATACTTGGCACTAATCTCCAGGAATTTCCTTTTGCATGCGTTGCTTAAGGCATTACCCTGCATGTTAGTGTTCAGATTGTATTGTATATACTTACTGGTATATGGCCATTACTTCCTATGCCAGATATTTGGAAGCAGTCTCTAGGGATTTCCTTTTGCATGCGTTGCTTAAGGCCTTACTCTACATGCTGTTTTCCAGTATATTGTTGACTACATGTTTCTTCTGTTAGTTTGTTATGTGTAGAGACTTTCATATGTTTTTCAACTAATTATACCTCTTATATTTACCAAGATGTTTGAATTAATAGTGAATGATTATCTTGAAAGTACACCATACAAGGAGTGGTCGATCATTGCCATCTTGCAATATACAGTATCAAAATCTGAATTATCTAAAGATACAATTGACATCCTCAAAACTGATTCATATTCAGTACTATGGAATTTGTGCAAAAGATGCAATACACAAGTGTATGCCAAAAATAAGGCGAATAAAATTTATCAAACAACGATAAATCATTTTCTTCAGATGATATGAAACGTTTTATCGATGAAGTTTAATTAAAAAATGAAAGAAAGGAATTCAATATAGCAGTATGTCAAAATGTAACATCAGCAAACACATTACAAACATTAAAGGTGAGTTTGAAACAAACTTAGGAATAAAACATCATAATAGTCTTACTGATAATTCTATAAGGAATATCGTATGGCCAGAATAGAAATCGAGGATATACACAATGTGGATGTAAATAAAGTCACTGTATTTACTGGTAATACAATCGAACTCATTTTACATTATATATTGAAATGTGTATTTAACCTTTTCTTTATGGTGCGGAATTAATAGCTTTAATGCAGAAGTCACATCCTTTTCAATTCAAAAGTAGAAATAAGAAAACTACAATTGATTTGAATGATCAATCAGAATCTGATAGTGGATTGTATTATGAGGACTCAGTGGAGAGAGTCCAGGAAGAAGTAGATATATTTAGTGCTCAGAGAATTGAGGTAATCCTAGTTTCCACTATACCATTAATGTGTTTTTATGTTGTTTATTGGAACTAAGAGTGAGTTTGGTCAGTTACTGGAAAGTTTAGAGATGAAATCGCGCTTGGAAAATTATAACATTATTTGTCTTTTCGATGTCAAATTTCCTTACATAAAATAACTCTTTAAAAAATTACCAATGGATCAGATGTGCATGATAAAGAATAAATGGGTAGAGGTAAATTTATCTTTTGTACTTAGACGAGAGTTATGAACATTGAATTGATAAAAAAAAATTCTTTTAATAACAATGAGGCCGAAGAATTTATTAGTAAAAAAGAGATCGAAGAATGTTGGAATGGGTGCTCATTAAAGAAACTGGTAGACAATAACCACCGAATCATCAAAGAAAATGGAAATAAAGATACTTTCTATGTTGATCTTAATGTGCTTATAACATTATTTATGAAACAGCAATTTGATAAATATGAGCATCAAAAAACTTATGAATTGTTTTGGTATCAGGATTTCTATACACGGATGTAAGTTTATGATAGATTTCTTTTATATTGTTATGACTGCTAAATGAAATAATCAAATTTTCTTATTCCAGAGCCCTTCAATTGTTGCGTAAGCATAGTGCTTTGTTAGATAGTAGTTCTAGCGAATATCAGTATCAAGATGAAATCGTTAACCCTTTTCTGGTATCAATTTTTTACGATGTTAAAGATGCTCTATGGATAAAGATGTAAATTGTTTTTCTTTGAAAGTTGACATTCCTGAATTTGTGAATCTAATCCTAATTAATATTAATAATAAACTAGCAGAGAAATTGAAAATGATTCACGAAAATGACAACGCAATTTCACCAAACAAGAGAATGAACGCGAGAGACTTGGAGATAAACATGATGGAATCCTATACATGAATGTATGTGGTGTAAAGGTTGGAGTTGGATTTATCGAAGTAGTGAACAATGCGTTTGCTACTATAATATCTGACAAAAATGATGATTTAGAGAAATTATTAAAAGGTATATCTGTAATTCTAGTAATTTGGTAAAATATGACATCTAACTAGTTCTATTTCTCTTAATCATAGCAATGACGATATTTCTTTAGTATCAGCATGCACACTGATCTGATGAGAACACCTTCAAATTGCAATCATTTGCTGTGTTAGTGTATGGTAAGTGGCCTATACAAGCCTTGATGATTTTTTATTCAAAAACCGTGATTAACTTGATCATTTTGAACAAGACGTGAATTTCATTTTTAAGCATGCATTTGATTGGTGACATATATATTGTTGACGAATATGATACTTTTGTCATACCAGACTCTGGTTTGAACCTTTTACATATTGGAAATATTGTCAAAATAGTAAAGAAATTCAAAGTAAGTTCTGTTGTTTTAATCCTGCAGAATGTTTATGGTTCCTTACTTCATCACATTCATAACATTTTTGTAGGTACAAATGATCAAATATTATCATAAACTTATTCAAAAGCCACGTATAGTGACCTGGCCTCCAATGTCAGGATTACCAACTGCTTCACCATCTAAGCCCAAGTAAAATCAAAATGAATAATTTTACGTTGAACAAATTCATAAAGCCAAAATGTATTTTATGGCATTAAAAGGTACAATAGTTGTTTCATGGACTACTAGCTGGATGCAATCTAATTTTTATCAATAAAGCTTATCAGAAATAATCACAACCTTTATATAATGATAATAAGCTAGTAAAAGTTATAAAGGTTTGAACGTTTTTATTTTTATTTTATTAAAACTGATTTTTGCCTAATATGGTAGATTATGTGAAATGTGTGCATCAAAAAATATATGTTATCTAACCATGATTAGTATGCCAACATGACTAAATCTAATTTTTTGACTGATCAATTGTGAAATAATTATAGTTGATTTAAAAATTGTGATTGTTCCATAATCTAAACTACATCAGTGAATAAGGCAATCAATACATTCTGTTAATTTATATTTGTGTGATTGATTCTCAAATTTTCAATATGTCATGTGTGATTCCATAACCTTAGATCAAATCTTACGAGGGTTGTAATATAAAAAATTTATTTTTTTACATGTATTGTATATTATGCAATTTATATACAGATTCAATAGATTAATATAATAACAAACATACACAAAAAATGAATTGTGTATTCTTAAACAATATGTTAATAAAATCACATATAAATCACTAAACTTATTATAATCGCTAAATATGTCTGATTTTGATATCCATATTATTCTTGACAAAAAAAATAGAATATTATCCAAATCCTTTAATAACCACTGTGGAGAAACTCTTTGAGATAGAAAAATCATATGACAACTTGTCTATCATGAAGCAGAATGAAAGTTTTGTTTAGTGGGCTGTATGGGTAAGAATCAATCTTCAAGATTTATTAAGTGAGAATAAATTTAGCATATGGAACCCAAAATTACAGCACCATTAGAAATATTTTGAAGAAAGAGCAAGGTAAAAAAATTGCACCTTATATTTTCAAAATATATATCAGGAAACCTAATGCTTGGTATTATACGTATATTTTTAGTATATTATTATTATACAAATATTATTTTATATGTTTATTATACGTATATTACATGCTTATAACATTGGTAATAAATTTATACATATAATATATGTATTTCTCCAAGAGAATTATACGCATATACGTAGGTATATGTATAATATATTATACGTATATGTAGTATGCGTATAATATATGTGTAGTATATGTATAATATAATATACTGTAAGTCTTTTCAATATAAAAATAAAATTCACTTTTTCTATAGCGAAACATAACGAATCATTTATCATACACATATTTGTTATCACTACTATGGCTAATAGGGATAGGTTAATAGAGATATATATGTTGTAAAGAAAAATTAATACTAATAATAATAAGAGAATTTTGTTATAGTAATAGTAAACGTTATTTAATATTTTATATAGATAGATAGAGGGAATAAAGAGTTTTTTTTCTCTTTTTTTTTTGAGATGATATATTTTTTAGAGTTATTTATATGATATAAGGAATAAAAAATAATAGTAATAGTAAAATTATTAAATTGTTACATTTCTGAAATGTGACAAAATCGAATGTGAGTCAAATCCGCCCATATTAATATTAATATTAATATGATTGTGATGTTAAAATTTTTGATTCCCGAAATCCTTGGTAATACTAATACTAATACTAATACTAATCACTTTGTTTGGTTTTGTTGCAGCATGTCCCAGTTGTTTCTTTTTTATTAATAATATATATAATAAGATTAATTCTTCTAAATTGATTATTTTTCTAAATAAATAGATTAATATATTGGATTATAAATTCATTAAACTTTTTTATTTGTTGTGCTATTGGTTCTTCAGTATAAAAAGTTTCCTTTTTTATTTTCTTATACTGATAGAAGCATTCTTTTATAATTTGATTTTCTGTAGTAGACTTTCTAATTCTTTTTATATTATCTTAGCTTTTTTAATTGAGATTTTTTCTATATAGTAAAATAATTTTTCTTATTTATTTTCTTTTTCACTTTTTTCTTTATATTTTTTCCTTATATTCTTCTTTACTTTTATTTTATTAATTGATTTAGTCCTGATTAATAGTGATTAGTGAAATTCAATGAGAACATTAATTATATGGACTCTTTGCAATAGAAAGCGAGTAAATTACCAAAAAAATTTTTTTAAGTTAATATTAAATCTAGACTTATTTTGTTAAAAAAAATAATATTTAGCTTATAAAGTAAAAAAAAATTTTTTTAGTAGTTTTCTTCCTTTCTATTGCAAAGAGCCTATATGTTCTTCTTAATATAATGTTATAATTTTATTTCTGTAACTGATTTTATATCAGTTTTTTTTTAGTCAATTATTCTTTATAAACTATAGAGGTTCACAAGCAAATTTGCTTGCTTATTTACTATAAATTTCCTTCTGATTTACTTTTATAAAAAATTAAAATTTTTAAAATTTTTTTTTTAAATTAATTTTATAAATATATATAATATTATAGTAAATTTTAGTTTTTAATTATATAATAAATAATT